TCTCGCCCATATCAACTTTCTTTACTCTTGTAAGTTCTCGCGCGTTTAGAGATGCGCCACACTCGCGTTTTAGGTGCGGGGATCCCAACCAATACTTACCTATCTTTTTAAAGATGCTACTTTTAGCCCTCCCCCAAATCTACATACATATATTTAACTTGTGGAAGTCTATCGATTTGGACAGTGCTTGGGTGAGAAAATCTCGCCCCTATCAACTTTCTTTTCTCTCGCAAGTTCTCGCGCGCTTAGAGATGCGCCACGGTCGCGTTTTAGGTGTGGGGATCCCAACCAATGCTTAGCTAACTTTTTAAAGATGCTACATAAAGCCCTCCCGCGAATCTACACACATGTATTTGACTTGCAGAAGTCTATCGATTTTGGACTGTGCTTGGGTGGGAGATTCTCGCCCCTATCAACTTTCTTTTCACTCGTAAGTTCTCTCGCGTTTAGAGATACGCCACACTCGCGTTTTAGGTGCGAGGATCCCAACCAATGCTTACCTAACTTTTTAAAGATGCTACTTTTAGCCCTCCCCCAAATCTACACACGTGTATTTGACTTGTGGAAGTCTATCGATTTGGACAGTGCTTGGGTTAGAGGCTGTCGCCCCTATCAACTTTCTTTTCCCTCGTAAGCTCTCGCGCGTTTAGAGATGCACCACACTCGCGGGTTTGGTATGGTGATTTCAAACTATGCTTAGTGGACTTTTTAGCCCTCCCCCAAAATCTACACACGTGTATCATAAAGGCTTTTGTTCTTGGGCTATCGTAGTTTAACGAGGAATAAAACACAAATAGCGGTGATAAACATATTAAACTTACGCATTTTAATAACTTGACGTTATTAAAATGTATTTCACTTGTGGAAGTCTATCGATTTGGACAGTGCTTGGGTGAGAGATTCTCGCCCCTATCACGTTTCTTTTCTCTTGTAAGCTCTCGCGCGTTTAGAGATGCACCACACTCGCGTTTTAGGTACGGAGATCCCAACCAATGCTTACCTAACTTTTTAAAGATGCTACTTTTAGCCCTCACCCAAATCTACAGACGTGTATTTCACTTGTGGAAGGATATCGATTTGGACAGTGCTTGGATGGGAGATTCTCGCCTTTATCAACTTTGTTTTCTCTCGTAACTTATCGCGCGTTTAGATATGCACCACACTCGCGTTTTAGGTGCGAGGATCCAAACCAATGCTTACGTAACTTTTTAAGGATGCTACTTTTAGCCCTCCCCCTAATGTACACACGTGTATTTCACTTGTGGAAGTCTATCGATTTGGACAGTGCTTGGGTGAGAGATTCTCGCCCTTATCAACTTTGTTTTGTCTCGTAAGTTCTTGCGCGTTTAGAGATGCGCCACATTCGCATTTTAGGTACGGAGATCCCAATCAATGCTTACTTAACTTTTTAAATCTGGTACTTTTAGCCCTTCCCCAAATCTAAACACGTGTATTTTACTTGTTTAAGTCTAGCGATTTGGACAGTGCTTGGTTGGGAGAATCTCGCCACTATATCAACTTTCTTTTCTATAGTAAGCTCTTGCGCGTTTAGAGATGCGCCAAAGTCGAGTTTTAGGTGCAGGGATTCCAACCAATGCTTACCCAACTTTCTAAAGATGCTACTTTTAGCCCTCCCCCAAATCTACGCACGTGTATTTAACTTGTGGAAGTCTATAGATTTGGAAATTTCTTGGGTGAGAGATTCTCGCCCCTATCAACTTTCTTTTCTTTGGTAAGTTCTTGCGCGTTTAGAGATGCGCCGCACTTGCGCTTGAGGTGCGGAGATCCCAACCAATGGTTACCTAACTTTTTAAAGATACTACTTTTATTCCTCCTTTAAATCTACACACGTGTATTTGACTTGTGGAAGGATATCGATTTGGACAGTGACTTGGGTGAGAGATTCTAACCCCTATCAAATTTCTTTTCTCTCGTAAGCTCTCGCGCGTTTAGAGATACGCCACACTCGCACTTTAGGTGTAGAGATCCCAACCAATACTTACCTAACTTTTTAAAGATGCTACTTTTAGCCCTCCCCCAAATGTACACTCGTGTATTTCACTTGTGGAAGTCGGTCGATATGGACAGTGCTTGGGTGAGAGATTCTCGCCCATATCAACTTTCTTTTCTCTCGTAAGTTTTCGCGCGTTTAGACATCCGCCATAGTCACGGTTTAGGTGCGCGGATCCCAACCAATGCTTACCTGACTTTTTAAAGATTCTACTTTTAGGCTTCCCCCAAAACTCTACACATGTGTATTTGACTTGTGGAAGTCTATCGAATCTGACAGTGCTTGGATGAGAGAATCTCGCCCCTATAAACTTTCTTTTCTTTCGTTAGCTCTCGTGTGTTTAGAGATGCGCCACAGTCGAGGTTTAGGTGCGAAGATCCCAACTAATGGTTACCTAACTCTTTAAAATTGCTACTTTTAGCCCTCCTCCAAATCTACACACGAGTATTTGACTTGTGCAAGTCTATCGATTTGGACAGTGCTTGGGTTAGAGATTCTCGCCCCTATCAACTTTCTTTTCTCTCGTAAGCTCTCGCACGTTTAGAGATGCGCCACACGCGCGTTTTAGGTGCGAGGATCCCAACCAATGCTTATCTAACTTTTTAAAGATGCTACTTTTAGCCCTCCCCCAAATCTACACACGTGTATTTGACTTGTGGAAGTTTATCGATATGGAGAGTGCTTGGGTTAGATATTCTCGCCCCTATTAACTTTGTATCCTCGCGTAAGTTCTCGAACGTTAAGAGATGCGCCACACTCGCGTTTTAGGTACGGAGATCCCAACCAATGCCTACCTAACGTTTGAAAGACGCTACTTTTAGCTCTCCCCCAATTCTACACACGTGTATTTTACTTGTGGATGTCTATCGATTTCGACTGTGCTTAGGTTGGAGATTCTCGCCCACATCAACTTTCTTTTCTCTCGTAGGTTCTTGCGCGTTTAGAGATGCACCACACTCGCGTTTTAGGTGCGCGGATCCAAACCAATGCTTACCTAACTTTTTAAAGATGCTACTTTTAGCCCTCCCTCAAACTCTACACACGTGTTTTTGACATGTGGAAGTCTATCGAATGTGACACTGCTTGGATGAGAGATTCTCGCCCGTATCAACTTTCTTTTCTTTCGTTAGTTCTCGTACGTTTACAGATGCGCCGCAGTCGAGTTTTAGGTGCGAGGATCCCAACCAATGCTTACCTAACTTTTTAAAGATGCTACTTTTAGCCCTCCCCCAAATCCACACACGTGTATTTTAGTTGTGGATGTGTATCGATTTGCCCAGTGCTTAGATTAGAGATTCTCGGCCACATCAACTTTCTTTTCTCTCGTAAGTCCTTGCGCGTTTAGATGTGCGCCACACTCGCGTTTTAGGTGCTAATTTTCGCCCTCTTTCAAATCTACACACGTGTATTTGACTGGTGGAAGTGTATCGATTTGGACAGTGCTTGGGTGAGAGATTCTCCCCCCCCCCCTGTGAACTTTCTTTTCTCTCGTAAGTTCTCGCGCGTTTAGAGAAGCGCCACATGCGCGTTTTAGTTGCCGGGATCCCAACCAATGCTTACCTAACTTTTTAAAGATACTACTTTTAACCTTCCTTCAAATCTACAGACTATTATTTTACTTGTGGAAGGATATCGATTTGGACAGTGCTTGGGTGAGAGATTCTCCCCCCTATGAAGTTTCTTTTCTCTCGTAAGTTCTCGCACGTTTAGAGAAGCGCCACATTCGCGTTTTAGTTGCAGGTATCCGAACCAATGCTTACCTAACTTTTTAAAGATACTGCTTTTCACCCTCCTCCAAGTCTACAGACGTTTATTTCACTTGTGGAAGTCTATCGATTTGGACAGTGCTTGGGTGAGAGATTCTCGCCCCTATCAACTTTCTCTTCTCTCGTAAGTTCTCGTGCGTTAACAGGTGCGCCACAGTGGAGTTTTAGGTGCGGAAATTCCAACCAATGCTTACCTAACTTTTTAAATATGCTACTTTTTTTAAATATGCTACTTTTAGCCTAAGATTTCGGTTTCAACAAATGTTGAAACCGAAATCTTAGTGTTTTTGTTTAGTCATGGTAGAACAAAATAGAGAGATTATCTTTTTTTACCGGACTTAACAATAAAATTTCAATTTGGCAAACCAGCGGCGTATTTGTTGAAAATAACGCGGGAAAATTAAAGCGAAATAAGTGCGTACAAGCGAATTTGAAAACAAAAAATCTTATACTCTTTACGCAGTACGACAAAGTGCTCCGAGGAAAAGCGAAATATGTGAAAGTAAATTAAGACATATTTCATTGCATTTAAACTGTGGTAAATGGACTTTTTCGGCGATACGGCGGCATTTTGAATTCTCAGGGTGCAAATTAGTATGCATTTGCCCCTAAGCATCTCATAAAAGCCATTTGAAACAATAGGCCCTCTGCACGATTCGGTCACATGGTACGGAATTAATTATGCTGGGACGCAAGTTCAAAACAAAGGAAAGTCGGGCTGGACTGGTGCGAGTTCTTTTGCTTTGGAAGTCTCACTGCGCAACTTGCGTCCCAGCGTAATTAATTCCGCACCGTGTGACCGGATCGTGCGAAGGGCCCATTGAATTCAAAATGGCCGTCTTAGGGCCGAAAAAGTCCATTATAGGCCATTGAAGCACTATAATACTGAGTTAAAGGGTCACAGTCAGCTTTGGGACCGCGCTGACCGTGGACACTAGTTTTCTCACTTTGAAAAAAAGTTCATCTCAACCTGAAATCAAAGATACGCGTGGAGTACATCTAGAAATCCGCTTCAGTCTTCGCGGGGTTTTGCTTGATTTTCAATCGTTTACTGAAAAGCCTGTTTTTGAGTGTGCTTTTACTCATCCTATGATACATGTATTATTTTATCATATTTGGTTAAAAACAGTATGGATCGCGTTTCTGTGATATGCAAATTAGCTATGAAATGGTATCTAATGCGCATTTGCGCCGAATAATGCTTTTCTCGTTTTAACCCACAGAGACGTTGCTATTATGGCAGGTATTGCCAAAGCGGATATTACTGCGATGCTTATCGGTGCTGCCGCTCTAACAACCAACGTCCCTGCAGTCACCACGCACACTGTCCTCAAGGATGGTATTGTGATTATAGCGCGCGCCTGTGCAAGGTTGGCGAACGCCGCTGTACCAATCATTACCAGTGCTATAATCAGATATGCGTGGGTGGCAAGTGCCGGAATAGGGAATGTTATTATCACCAACACTGCAAAACAGGATATTACTGTGAGTCGCCGGGGATATGCAAAGCACTCTGTACATCAGACAGCGCTTGCAAGGATTCCCAGTGCTGTGCAAAGTACTATTCAGGACAGACGTACGGAATTTGCAGGGATCTCAAGAAACCAGAAGAGTGGTGTTTGTTGAAGGTATTGTGCAATTATAAGACATTAAAGGACGTAACTGTAGGCCATACCATAGCCTGCGAGCAGCTCAACTTTGAGTCACACGTGCCAGCGAAGAGCGAACCGGCAAGAGGAAACGATCCGGCGGGGAGGAGTCTGGTGCGGAAGATTCGCCTCTCAGTAGTTTCGAGTTATTTGTGCGCATGCTCCAACAACAAAAATGTAATTAACTCATCATGGAGAGAAATGTCAATTCTCTGAGTTCAGGAGAAATGTTTGGAGGGTTCAGCCTCAATATCCCACGACGTAAAATATCCCAATATCCCAAGACGTAGAATTTCGGACACTTTTTATCTCATTTCGGACAAATTTCGGACACAAACTTCGGACACTTTGTTGAAACATAGCTTAAGTACAGTAACACCTACAAAACACGAATGAGAATGAAACAACATATTTGAAAATGATAGTTTTACTGCACCCTTAAGGTTTCAGAAATACACCGACGAGAAAATATCACAAAATAATGTCAAGCCGTTACGTATCTCAGCTAGTGTCTCAACTAGAGTTCGCTTCATAAAGGAAACTAAGAGCTTTGGAGTTACTTAAAAGCTTTAAACTAGTTATAATAGACTAAATATTTCGGACGCTTAAGATTTTGGATTTTTAATAATTTCTGACGGTTTTCTTTTCGGATGTATTTTTTAGCCGAAATAAAAACTGTCCAATTTTTTTGCAAGGAATGTAGCTTTTTTTGTGGGATCGGGGTGAAATAGGGATGTCAATGGGTAATTACGGTTACTATACTTGAATATTTATTTTATGTGTATTGGTGCTTCTACAGCCCAGCGGTTATCAATGTGGCTGTACTGAAGGCTACGAGTGCAAAAAATACAATTACTACTGGGGAAAGTGTAAAAAGAAGCCAACACCAAAGCCGACGTTGACGCCTGCTTGCTCGAGTGACAACAGCTGCCAGAAAACACAGTGCTGCTCTGGTGGCCAATGCAAGCCACGGAAGAAAGCCAAGGAGTTCTGTCCTTTCAAGGGGGTATTACTTTTTCCTGTGTTTGAAAATCGCGTACAATAGGGAATCTCTGTTTACAATATTTGCCTCATTTGCATAAGCGTTTAGGTTTCCGATCAAGCTAAAAAAATATTAGTTTCTGTTTAACTGAATGGGTTAAAGGAGTTCAGTCACGGTTTGCACATATTGAAAAGTTTAGCCTCAATTTTTCAAATTCGTCGTTTGTAATCCGCGTTAATCTTCTCCACCCTTAGCCATCCTTGTTCCTTTATGGTTTATCATTATCTCTTTGGTGTTTTTCTATCTTATTAAACTGTTATTTTCAGGTTTCCTACCATTTAAAGGTAATTTTGTATGTGACCAAAATAACTCAAAATACCGTGACTGATTCCCTTTAAGTCTGCATACGAGACGATTGGCCCATTAAGCTTGGAGCTTGTCCCGGTTTCTGTGGCATGAAGCGATTATGACTGTTTCTACTCCACCCTGGATGGGATGCTAGTCCATCGCAGGGTTACTCTCAGCATTAAATTCACCGCTACCCATTTATACACCTGGGTGGAGAGAGGTACTGTGAGAGTAGAGGGTCTTGCCCAAGAACACAACACAATGTCCCCAGCCAGCGCTCGAAACCGGACCGCTCGATCCGGAGACAAGTGTATTAACCACGAGGCTATCGCGCCTTCCCTGATTGATAGACAATGTTTAGTTCTTTTTGCCCAACTATAGCTCCCGATTTTGCTAAGTTACTTCTTGGATTTGATTTTTAGGCTGACATATACCACTGTGGTTGTATTGAGGGATATACCTGCAAGCAGTACGAAAACAACGAATACTGGGGAACATGCGAACAGATCGTTCCACCAACCGAGGAGCCTGGGTCTGGCTTCGTGGAATAGTGTCGTGATCAAAACGAGTCTACGGCGAGCTGAGCCAGCGACAAGGGAATTCACACAGTCCGCCGCATTGCTGTGATAGTGATTTACTTTGAATAAACAGGGGAAAATAATAAAACACATTTAACAAACGCTATTTAACGTCTGCTTGCCTATATGTTTTCTGATTATATACCTTCGAAATACTAATTTCTCACTAACCAAGCGCGAGGGCTGTATAGGGAATATATTGGCCCGAGGTCGACCGGTCGTGGCAGTACGAACCGAGCACTGCTTCGTCCGTACAAAAACACCCGAGGGTCAATATTCACCAGTAGGGCTTGAGAATGCTAGGTTAGAGACTATAAATTGTTTAAGCAGGCAACCGGAACGATGATCCTGCTGGTATACGTTGGATCAATAGTGATCTAATCGGCTTTACATATAAAATGAAGAATACAAACGCAAAAACCGACACAACGTAGAACGATTTTTTGAAGGTGCACTATATTTCGGCTGGCCAGACCAGCCTTGTTCAGGTACAATGGAAGATTTTACATTGGTGCGTGTATTTATGTAGCCGATATTTACGTAATACCGGAAATACGCAAAAGTAATTGATAGTGTAAATTGAAGATAAGCATACGGTAAAATAAAATAACATGATAAAAGAACGTAATAAAAGAAAACAAATGGAAACAACATGTTATTTTATTTTACCGTATGCTTATCTTCAATTTACACTATCAATTACTTTTGCGTATTTCCGGTATTACGTAAATATCGGCTACATAAAAACACGCACCAATGTAAAATCTTCCATTGTACCTGAACAAGGCTGGTCTGGCCAGCCGAAATATAGTACACCTTCAAAAAATCATTCTACGTTGTGTCGGTTTTTGCTTTTGTGTTCTAGGTTAGAGAGTATTTTATTATATGACACTCGAAAAGAAAAAATACACGGCTTATGACTATTTCCATGAAACGGTTCGTATGGCAAAATAAACAATTTATTAACCTCGGCAATGTACGGCAATGTCTCGGTTTGAGATTTTCCCGTAAAGACCTCACTCTTGGTTAATAAGTAGTTAATAATGGCTAGTATTTCACAAGAAATTGATTTTATTTGAATTGCAAGAAAATTACCTTACAATGCCAAATGGATCTGTAAAAGTCTGGAAATTCCAACGAGTTCTACCTTTACTTGACTTAAACGTCGACAGGCAGAGAGAAGATAAAAGATATTAAATCACGCCTTATTCTTTCATTTCTATCACATTGCAACCTAAGGAACAAATTTCGTTACCCCTTTTAAGACTATTCCTAGAGAATAATCTGAAAGAAGTTGTGAAACTTTGCGAAACATTTTCTCCTTGGAAACGCTCATTTCCTTGAATAACTTTGAGTTATATGCTGAAATAGTACATTTGTAAATACAGCTTGTACTCCGAAAAAATAGATGTGATCAGTGGCTGCCTGAAGTGGAATTGAGGCTTATAAAAGCTTTAAAATTCAGCTGTGTTTGTAATGCTTGTAACTATTCATTGGTAATATCTAACATCAGAAAAAACATTTTTTGTTCAATCATCGTTTATAAATAAGGCCTGTGTTTGTGGGTAAATTCATTTTCGTAGTCTTGCATGATTTTTGGAAATTAGATAAGCCACTTAACTTTCTCAGATTTACAGTACAGATTGAAGATTCCAAGCAAAAATAGCGAACTGAGCAAAACAGGAACCAGACTAATTGTTTTGGGTTTATTTTTCTCGAGTGACACGCAAGTTTAAAGCAATTTGGCAATTGATTCAAATCACATCATAAAATAAAAGATTTAGTTTAATCTTCAACACTCATATGTTTCCTGTTGCAATTTAGTTTTAAACGAGCTTTTTTTTTCGGGGGGGATATCATTTTTTGCAATTTCAAAAATTCGCGAAATAAAGTTAAAATAAAACAAATTTTGGTTTCGAGGAAGGTAAAACTGTAAATTCTCAGTTTAAACATTTTATATTGACGGTCATTTCTTAAGTTGTCCCTAGCAGCTGACGATACATTCTCTTTACTTCTTTCAAAAAGAGGTTTCTTTTTTTAAACATACCTGCTTAGAACTGAGACAAATTCAAATCTTGGTGAAAAGGTACCGCTTTCAAAGCCCTTCGCGCCAAAACAAACATTTCATCGGATTAGAAAGAAAGTGTGTAACACTCTTAGCCAAATACGAACCTTCATCTGCGAACACATTTGTTCAGAAGATCTAGATAGATTGTTTTATGTTTCAAAGCGCATGGAAAAAGTCATAGGAGGCAATGATATGAATCAATAGGTTCCAAAGTCTGCCGTTCCATCTTTGCTTAAGTTTGAAGACTGCATGAAATGAGCGCCCTCAAGATGAACTTTCTTTTAGGCTTCGCGACACTGTTATCGTTAGTAGTTGCTATCCGCGGAGGAATCCAAATCGAAGAAGATAATGGATTATTACAAGATTATGTAAGTATTTATTTTGTTGAACGATCTTTCAGTCACGGCTCTTACAACAAAAAGATTGTTTATTGGTCAAGTTTTCCCATAACGTAGGCGTTTAAAGGGTTCCTTCTTAACTACAGATTTAGAGCAGTTGCTAGGGGATTGCTGAAGGCGATATTTAGAAGAAAGCTGTTTTGAAGCGTTCTTCAGTGCCACATGGCGAATTTTATGAGGGAGCGTTTGCTTTGAAAAAAATATTATGTCGCGTGCGTAACTTGTGCCAGTCCCAAAACGCGCGTTAGAATTTTAAATCCCTAAAACGTAACTTGGGAAAACAGGAAGAGTTCCATTTTTGTTATGAATCAGAAATAACTTCGCCCTCTTTATAATCGTATGTATGGAGTTACTATTTACACGTAAAAGAGGAAAGCTGCCGTAGAAAGTCTGTTAATACGGGAGTTAACTGCCTCACAACTTTTATGTTAAGGTGGCCATGGCTCAAAACAGTTTCCAGCAGTTAGATTTTGATGGGTCATTATAACCACTCTTTATCACTTGATGCTACCATCATAGAATCAAAAAAATGTCCAATCATTGGTAAACACGTTTTTATTATTTTCGTGATACAATGGGTTACCATAGCAACAGTATGACCGGCTGAAAACATCCTAAATTAAAGGTTTAGAGGCTTATAATTCAATAACGGCACGGTGAGTTTTTTATATTATCAAATTTTTATAAGCATGACAAGACGCAACTTTTGGCAAAGTTTTAAAAACATCTGTACATAGGGTTCAAAGCAACCTTAAAGGTTTGAAATGCAACTGTAGGTTTTGGACTGAAACCCTTTAAGGCTGGTTTTCACCAGCGACAAAGTCGTGGTCGGAGTTGTACTCAGAAGCGCAGAGTGTTACGATCTAGTGAAAATCAAACCGACGGAGTCAGAAGCAGAACACCCATTCCGTTTATGACTCCATCGCTTACGATCTAGTGAAAACTACGTTGCGGGAGTGGGAAGCAGAAACGGAAGATTTAAATTATAGAGCACTTTGTCCTTGTTTACATAGCCTCATCTAAACACTAGGAGGGTTGGGAGAATTCGAGACAGTTATGCAAACTCGCGACGTAGTTGAGGGTTTGCACAACTTTCCAGAATTCTCCCGACCCTCCAAGTGTTTATATTAGATGAGGCTATGTAAAAATGGAAAAAGTGTTCTATTGCTTTTGCAAAATGATTCTCAAAAATACGCACGAATCTAAAACGTCACAACCGTGTTTACATACTCTCATCTAAACACACCTATCGACCAATGAGAGCGCGCGTAGTGGCTCAGTTGTTTTATAATTGTTCATAGAAAATTCGGGCTCGTTTTGTATTATTGTTAAATAGAACTCTTCTACACTTCTTATGTAGAGGCGTGGTGGCTTCATGGTTAGTGCGCTCGACTCGGGATTGAGCGGTCTGGGTTCAAGCCCTGGCCGGGGACATTGTTTTTTGTGGAGGCGCGGTGGCTTCATGGTTAGTGCGCTCGTCTCCGGATCGAGCGGTCCGGGTTCGAGCCCTGGCCGGGGACATTGTGTTGTGTTCTTGGGCA